CAGTGCCTTGTTGTTGGAAAGAGCTTAGGGTCTTTCAGGAACTGACTAGAGCTAGTGCAACCAGAACGTAGGAGTGAGAAGAATGTCATGACATGAAGCAGAAGAAACAAGCCTGTCCACATGGTGCAGGGTCCTCAGAGGCCTTGCTAAGTAGGAGTTAGGGTTCAGCTCTCAACACAGTGAAAATCTACTGTAGAGCTTTAACCCTAAGAGTAACATATTTCAGTGAACACGTTTAGAGGGTTAGAGGGTTATGTTCAATTACAGGGTGCAAGCCCAGATGCTATCACACTGGCTCAACAAGAGATAATGGCTTGTGCAAGCTTGGTAATAGCTGAGATAGGAAGAGATAGTCAAATTCAAGATAGAACTGCTGTTCTTCCTGAGAAGAACAGTCTTCCCCCATGTCCGTGGAAGCATCTGTATCATGGGAAAGTTGATACTTTGAATGGCTTCTTTAACCATATGATAAACTTCAGCGAAAAGGGAGAGAGACCCAATTTAAGTCTCAGCCTGGCCTCGTCCTAGATACAGGACCTGACACAAGTTACTTACTATGAGCAGCAGTTTACTCACCTGTAACTTGGGAATGGCAACACCTGCATTTCACAGAAGAGGTACGAGGTTCAAATAACAATCAGCCTACACATTTTGTTCACACAGATGCTCTCCAAATGTTAATAGGCAATCCCACCCCCCCAGTAAGAGCATTTTCTAAATGGACTGAATGGAGGAGATATTTAACACTCAGGAATCCTTTTCTGATGATGGAATTTCAAGCATCAAAATACAGGAGATATTTTGAGGTAGAGAGGTAGTTCCCTGAAACCAGCTGGGATATGGTAGAGGCTTGCTATTACTGTAAATATTTATAAAACACTTGATCTTCAGGAAAAAAACAAACTATTATATTGATAAATTCTTGTTAACATATAGAGAAAGTGAATACAATCCAACTCCAGTAAGAAACATTAATTTCAACTACTCTAAAGCTTACTAAAAGACAATAAAATACTTAGTATTTATGAAGCAACAATTATTCTTACAATAATGAAACTATCCTTACAAAAGGGAAAGACCAGAACAGGATTTTCATTACAGCACATGTTAAAATAAATTCTTGCAATAGCTAGGTTTAAAATTGTTATTTTAAAATTAACCCTTAAAAGCTGGTGTTTGCGTATTTGCTAAAGAATAAAAACACAGCTATAGAGTGTTTTTAAGACTCATGACCAGTGCCATTACATTTATAAATGCTTTCTTCTATGCAGCGGGGCTCCATAGAGTTAGTGGCAAGGTTTATCTAATTTTGGCCTTTTTTCATTATTGAACTTTTAACATTACCCTATTCCTGAATTACCTAAGATTTGTATTAATTTTCATTGATTTCAAACTGAATACCTGTTTCCTGAAAAGTAGGGGAAACAGAGAAGAAGAATTAGTGTGATTTCCCAGAAAAAAAAGTACTCCCATTCAGATAAATACTATGGTACCAATTGGAAAGTGTTTCTTCACCCACACTAGCTAACTTGTTTTTCCTACATAACTTTTCCCCCAGTTTATTTAATTGGAGAATAGAATAAAAGATAAAGGAGGAAATATCTGAAGTACAACATGCCTATACTGGTTAAGATGACTTCCTCTAAATAATAATTAGCATAGGAGGGTGGGAGTTGAGGGCTCAAGCAGGGCACTAAAAACCTATTCTCCAAGGCACCCAGGACAGGTGTTTTATCCGTGGTTGATATCTAGCTGGGACATGCCAGTAGTGTAACTGGGTTTGTACGACACATATCGGCTCCAACTGCACCAGGCCCATGCTGTGCCAGCTGTTAAGTATTTTTACTATCGCTAAGACTTATAATCTCTTGGCCTGAGATTAAACCCAGTTGGCCTAGACTCTCCCTCATAGGCTCTTGATTTGAGACTTCCACTTAAAGTTCTCTCTATAACTATCTTAATTAATATGTACAGGCTACCTAGGTCCTGTCCATTGAAATCACACAGAGAAACTCAGTGGGGCCCTGTCCGGGTAGCTCAGTCGTTTAGTGCGTCGTCCTGAGACAGTAAGGGTTGTGGGTCCCATCCCCTATCAAAGCACATATAAGAGTCCACCAGTGCATATGAATAAGTAGAGCAACAAATTGATGTTTCTCTCCACCTCCCTCTCAAATAAATAATTTAAAAAATCTTAAAGAGACTTAGATGGTCAGTTTCAGTGTCTTTTATAATTCTTTATTAACATTTGGGATATGCTCACAAATTTCAGAGTAGCCAACCAAGAATGAATCATATTAGAAAATGGGAAAGAACAAGAAAAAAAACCCCACTAGACTAAGGCTCAAATCCTGATCTTTCTCTTTCATTAACACTCTTGAGTCTTAGATTCATCATCTGTAAAATGGAAACCAGACTTTTCACCTCACAGACTGTTGTAGGAATTAAATGATAGCCCGGATGTCATAATAGCTGTGTACTACACACCGGTGATCAAAAATGCCTACTAAATCTAGATCAATTCATTATGAAAATCATGGCTTACATTTCTGAGTTCATGATTTAAAAAGAAATCAAAACTTTAAAGAGCAGAGGCAAAGACACAATTAAAAGGTTCAAAGGTAAGACCTAAAAGAATCAATGTCCCTCAACCTACAGAAGAAGAAATTTACACAATTTAGTTGGCCATTTTCTATGAAAGAATAAGGGAAGAGAGTGAGTGGGTTAAGATGAAGCACCGAGAATATTGGTTAAATAAAAGGAATTTCAAGAGCACATTATTAAAATCAGAAATTAGCAAAGATATGAAATACATGAATGAGTGTGTCTGGAATGGAAAGATTACAGCAGCGTGCAATGACCTCATCCAAAGACTAAACAATCTCTCAACTCTGTTGTTTGCAAATTCCAAGGAGATGCAAGAAAAACTGGCCATCAGAAAACTGAAGTCCTTACTAGCTCTTGCTAAGATTTCACATAGCTTAGGAAAACCACCTCAGTAATTTAGGCCTCAATTTCCTCATTTGCAAAATTAGAGAGTTTGATTATGAGTCTCCTGCAGTTATAAAAAATCCATGACTCTCATTTACTATGGCTTATGGCTGACCTCTGTGGCAGAGTACAGAAGGTAAGCCATGGGAATGCATCAATGACTGTTTACGGGGAGGCAGAGACGTGTGATGGCATTGTTACAATGCAGTAAATTACTACTTTGATGTAATAAGTAGTACACCAAGTAGCCTAAAATTTGGTAAGCAGCCTGACCAGATATTTACAACCAGGAAATAACCTATCTAGGTCACTATTCATGGAAGTATAAGCAAGTAACAATTACACATTCTAATGTATGGTATCAAAATATCATAGGTAACTTCTGAAAGACAATTTTTAAAAAAACCGCGGATATTTGTGACATTGTGCTTTACTTAACAGAATAAAAGTATCTGCATTGTCAGAACATACAGAAATCAATAGTGAGAAGAAAAGATGCTAACAGGCGTTAGAGTAGAACGATTAATAAATTCATTACGACATGCCCACAATGTACTTTAGGTGAAGACACATTTTATAGTCATCTGTTAGTAAAGATTCATCACAAGAGCACTTAACATTTTCACTTAAAAATTAACTCACCAAACAGAAAAATCTTATGAAATATGACATGAAACCTTGTGATTCGGAGCTGCCTACTTCCTCAGAGGAACCCAGAGGAACCCGGATGACATAAATAAAACATGGACAAATGATATGTGACTTTGGATATCTTACTCATATAAAAGCCAAATCAGTTTCCAATGTCATATTCTGACACCTATAAATAAAAGCACTTAATTTTGAAAGGTGTTCCCTAAGGTCAACAAGGCTAAGTATTTCCCATATGAGATAAGCATCAGACTTTTCCAGGCTATTTAATTTTTAACTTCATGTACATAAATAATACTGTTTAGGAAAAAAGAACATAAATCTCCCTATCCTATTCTCTCACAAAGAAAACTAAAATTTTTGTATATAAGAAAGATTTCCTTGAAAACACTTGCTTTACAATGGCTAATTCAAAATGGGCAGAAAGCTCAATGAACATATACTAAGTAAACACTAACTGATTACCTGATGGAGGAAATACTCAATGCTACCTATGACATAATTTAAATCTCATTAAAAGCAAGTCCTGATTCCCTGGCCAGGTGGCCCAATGGGTTGGAGCATCGTCCCATATACCAAAAGACTGTGGGTTCGATTCCTGGCCAAGGCACACACCTAGGTTGTGAATTCGATCCCCAGTCGGGGTGAGTACAAGAGGCAACCGATCAGTGTTTCCCTCTAACACCACTGTTTCTTTCCCTTCCTCCTTCTCTAAAGTCGATAAACATATCCTTGTATAAGGATTAAAAAGTAATAATAAAATAAATTTTAAAAGCACAGTTCTAAAACATGATACGCCACCGTGGAACTTACCGTCTTGGCTCACAAAGTGAGCATCTGAGGCAGAGACGACGCAGCCTGCTGTTTCGCTGCATGTTGTGCTCTTACTGCCTCGCCATACACAGTGTATTTCCCTGCTCTTACAAGAATTACTTTCATTTACGCCTGTAAATTAAATGTCTATAGAAATGACTCTTTTAAATTGACTATCTCAACTCTGAGTACATACAGAAATAAAAAAATGACTAGGAGAAAAAATAAAACATCTGTTATCATAGTCACTTTTATTCATTCACAAGTGTCTAAAACCTTAAAAAACTGAGAAGGCAGACAGAAGACGGGTAAGGCGCAGTACTAAACTGCACACCCCACTCAGTACTGCATGAACACATTATTTTCTTCTTAAAAGGATATCATTTATTTTCTTAACAAGAGTCATTCATAGCCCAATTTCAATAGTATACAAGTATTTTTCTGTGGATTCTATTAGGCAATGTGAGAAACTCATTACAGAAAGAAACAGTCCCTGAAAATAATTCTTACTGCATTTTATGGGAACTGGAAAACACCCACAAAATTACCTGACACGCAATGTGCACGAGGTAGACCAGCTCTTTAGATTCACAGCCATTTTTCGTTATGTCATTCTGTTCTTCTGAAAGCGAAAGCTGTGGCAAAGAAGGGGCAGAGGAGAGGGGAAGTCATGATTAATGAACCAGAATAAACGAAATATTCAGTGATACTTGGAGTCTTGCATCAACTTAATGAAAGATATGCCTTATAAGAGAAGTGTACTACTTTATGGAAGATAAAGAATTCAGGATTTAAAAAAATATCCTATTAGCAGAAAATAAAATACATTCATTCAAGAGTACATCTTCACTTCCTTAACTCCCAGTGCACAGGTGAAAGGCAGGCATCAAGGTGGCCCCCGAGGGACAGTGTGGCCATGAGGCTCACAGAGACCAGGCTCCCCTGCAGAGGCTGCAGACTGGCCGCCCAGGACACAGGCTGGCCCCACTGATACGTTTTATTTTAGACTCACTGTGCAGGTCTGTACACTGCGTTTTATTTTATTTTTATTTGAACCACCAGCTAGCATTTAGAAAGTGAGTATTTTTAAATGAAAAATACATATTTTTGGCTTCTATTGAAAAATCAGGAAACGTGAAATATTGGACCCACATTCTCATATAGGCAGCAACTGGCTGGAGCTGGAAGTGATTGACCCCTTTGAATGTCTTCTCCAAGGGACTATGCCACAGACCCGATCACTCTTGATTTTTCACCAGCATGTAGATGAATGTTAACTGCCCTGCACTGTTCTGCTTGCTTTGTTATTTTTATACCCGACTCACTGCACTCATTTATCTTACATACCTGCCCTAACTTGAAATGTGAATTTGCAAGCTCTGATCCAAAAACAGACCACCATGAGTTCAAATGTCACTAACTGGTTATATAATATTGACCTTCCCACTTAATCTCTCATCTGGAAAAAGGGGATTATATAATAATATGTACTCCCAAGTTTGTGAGTATTAAATGGGATATTGCATTTAAAGTGTTCACCAAGCTACCGGTACCTGGCACTCAGTAGGTACTTAATGTATGTTACCTATTGTTACAGTTCATGTGATGAGAAATACATAGTTGATGAAAATATGGTCTCTGTTTTTAAAGGCAGTGTTCACAGGGAAAATTTTTAAAAAACCTCCTGGTATTAGTAAGAGACATTTACAAGAGATAACAATCATTCTCACACTATCTAATATAAGCTAGATTAATCACAAAAGCATAGTGGTTTTTTTTTTAACTAAAAAAATTAAGGGTGAAATGAAACCTAAATGAGTAAGTTGCAGAAAGTGACGACACTTCCGTGACTCAGAGTGATTAATGGATGTGTTGGAATGCCTGGAAAAGACCCAGAAGGATAAAGAATCTGCCTTAGAGAGGAGGGCAGAAACCGGCCGGACCCAGAACAATGGCATGGGGACTGGAGTGATACAGTAAAATTCAAGGAACACCTGTGATAGAGAGTCCACACCCACCCATCGACTGATTCCCACAGGTATTCACCAAGTGCATCAAGTTAATACACCAAAGGCAGGAGGAAGAGCAGGGGAACTGAGAGAGACAAACCTGGGAAGTGTATGCAGCCTCCCCAAGCACAGGGCAGCCAGCTAATGCTGTGGATGGGGAACAGAGCCAGAAAGCCCAACTCAGACAGACAGATCCCTCCAAGGCCCTCAGACAGCCAACAACTGAAGGGTTCTGGTGGCACAGGAAAGCTGAGAAAACCTCTGCAGAAGCAACTTGACTTGAAAGAATATAAGACAGCTACACGGCAAGATCTGGGCTCAGGTAGAGGAACGGGAGCTCTGTTTTGGTACAGAAAGCTGGACAAAGACCTGGAGAATGAGAACTAGCAACCTGGTGGTAAGGCAGAGATGAAGAAAAGAACATGAGTTCTCTCCATCAGTTCAGAAACCTAGCAGCTTAGCTGTAAAGCACAAAGAGATCTTCAGACACCTTGCCCATTTTCAATTCCCCTTGATAGGGAAAAAAAAACCAAAAAACAAAACCAAAAACACCTCCTGAACTTACACTCAAAGTATTTAACAGCAATGATAAACTAAAGCTGCCAGAAGGCCAACTCTATACAAGCTACAGGTCAGCTTGACTCAGCCCCTCAATCGAACATGATGAACAGAATCCAATATAACCACCTAACAGACTAGAATAAGAAGGGGTAAAGCCCATTCCCAGAGATAAACATTTACTGACTTTACAGAACTGGCATAAAAAATTACAAACACACACAGAAACGAGAAATTGTGACCGACAGTCAAGAAAAGAAACAATAAAAGGAATCGGACACAAAGGGCCCAGATATTGAAATAGTAAAGAGAACATAAGTTATGACAGAAACTCTAAAGTGAACTTGAAAAGATAATAATAATATGGGACACATGGGAAAAATCTAGCAGAGACTGAAACTACAAAAATATTCAAAATAAAATGCTAGAAATAAAAGCTGTGTCAGATATCAACAGCAAACTGGACATAAAAGATCAAAGGGTCAGTGAACTTAAAAATAACTCACTAGAAATTATTAAGTTAAAATAAAAAGATACAAACAAGAATAACTAAACATAACAGTATATTTGATATCTCTGAGAGAACACCAGACAACCACGTGCACAGCTGGACACCAGAGGAAAATGAGACAATAAAACAGAGGAATATTCAGCAAAATCAAATATTTCTAAAACTGGTAAAAAATATCAATTAACAAATTCAAGAAATTTAGTGAACCTCACATAGGATGATTTTTAAAAATTAATATTAGACATTCTATAATCGCACTTCTAAACAACAAAAAGACAAACCTCTTTACAGTAGGCTAAGAAAATAAAACATACTGCATAAAGGGAGAAAATATGACTGACAGCTGAATTCTCACCAGAAGGAAGAGAGGACGTAAGAAAAAGAGAAACACCTGTAAAGTAGTGAAGGAAAAGTGTTAAATCTATACCCCATGAAAATAACCTTAACAAATTTAAGAAACATGGACACATTTCCAAACCACAAGAGCTGAGAGACCTCGTCTCCAGCAGACCAGTGCAAGAAAGAAAGCTACAACACTTAGGCTGAAAGCAAATGGTACCGGATAAAAAAATCCAGAAACACAGAAGGAGTAAATAATTCTAGAAGGGGTAAATATTTAAGTAAACATAAAACAGCTAAATTTGCAACAATAACAGATGGCAGACGTTTGAGACTATCTTAATAGTTCTGAAAAAAGAGAATAAATTATCCTATAATTTATTCACACCTAAACCACAAGAAAATAGTAAGAGCAAAAAATTTAGCATTTTCTGATTAATAAAAACAATGAGTTTCCAAAAGCAAATTCTCACTATATCCACCTTCTAAAACATGCACTTTAAGAAAAAAACAGATTCCAGGAAAAAGAACTAAGATGGAAAGTAGAAACTGAGCAAAGAATTTAGCAAATAAGCCTTTCATCTCAACAAATGTTAACTGTATAACAAAAACAATAACAAATGTAGACGATAAAGAGATGGAATTATAATCCTAGGCCACAACACATGAAAGTCTAGAAAGAGTGACCCCAGTGAAAACACCTCCAACTACTGCGGTTGCTTAAGAGAAGGAGGAGATACTGATCAACTTTAGGCTGAAAATTAGGTATTCAAGTAAAAATTTCATTGTAGCCACTAAAAGAACAGAAAAACCATAATTTCTAAACCATGAGGGAAATAAAATATTTGAATATCAATAACTACAACAGAAATAAAAAATACAAGTACAATCAATCTTTCTAAGCAGACCTGGGCACAGGAGGAGAGAGAAGGGGAACACAAACTTCCAAATGAAGGCAAGGAGATGTGGGGGCGAGTGGGGGGGACAAAATTAAAGGCAAAGGCAGATGATGGTCAGGCGGTGTGTCAACAGAACAGTGGAGCAGGCAGCTCTGAACTCGAGCCTCTCACAGAAACACGGGAAAACAAACTGAAAACTCTCCAAATCAACTTTCTCACTACTCTAAGAAACAGTAAAAGGTCTATAACAACGGAGTCACCGAGTCACCAAAGCCAACTTCAATGCCGTAGGAAAGCGTTGCAGCAGTTTCGCTTGCCCTCACTCCAGCTCCTCCCCAGTGGCAGCGCTGGGCGGAGGCAGCTCCAGTTCCCAGGTGTGGGGCCCCGGGCCCTGGGTCCGCAGGAGTAAGACACTTTAGCCAACTACTGTGTGTATCTATTCCAATCTGTCTGGTGACCCCCTGAAGAATTGGCAAGACACAAACCTCTGTTTCATTAAACTTGGAACTGACTCAGGGACAATAAGCAGCAGCATTGTTCAAAAACACTATAAAGTAAACAAGAAACCTGCAGCCACCTGGAGCAAAAGATTATAGTTAAGACATAAAATAGTTTAAAACCCAGGAGGAAAAGCTGAAAAGAGAGGTTCTTTGTGAAATCAGGGCATTGAAAAACCCATGAATGCGTCCAGGGCAGAACACATGCACACAAAAGATACAAGAATATCCGACCCTTTAACCTCCAACTAATCTTAGAGTTGAACGAGTGCCCTAACACAGAGAAAATGTGCAAAGGCTGGAGAAAAAGTGTCTGTTTCGTTTATTTTTAGCACCTGGCATTTAAGAAATTACCTGAAAAAAAATACATACTACCTGAACATGAACAAAAAAAAGAGAGACTTTACTGAGAAGCCATGAGAGAGAATAGTCTTTGCAAAAATAATCTCCGAAAGTTACTAAACAATCAGACAACTATGTCCTTCATAAACAACAACAACAAAAAAACACCTGTAGAAAGGTGTGGAATCTGATTGCTAGGATCACTACATTATAATATTTAAATGTCCAGTGTGCAACAAAAATAATCACAACATACACCAAAAAAACCCTCACCAACCCTAGGAAGGCAGGGGCCATTATCAAGAGAAGTAAAAATAAGACCACAGAATCTGTCTCTGAGAAGTCTAGATACAGGACTTAAAATAAATTTTGAATGAACTATCTAAAATACACTCGAAGAGCTCAAAGAAACCACAAAAAACTAAAGGAAAGCAGGAAAATAACTTAAAAAAGAGAGAGAATCAAACACAAACTTGGGAG